TACTGTACAACCCCAGCTCCATGATACAACATTCAATATAAACCTTGGCAATTGCCTCACCACTTTGTATCAATTGAGATATTAAAAAAAAAAAAAAGTAGTTCTAAGCTTTCTTTAAAATGATCTATTGATTGATCTCTATACTGTGAATTCAAATACAGGAACAGATATAAGGAAGCGGGGATAGGTAACTTTCCCCTTCTCCCTCCTTGGTGGGAGGGGAGGTAGTAAGGTGGTCTGAACACTATATACTGTAGAAAGCCCTTCTCTGGTCTCATTCAATTTTCAATTCATGAATTTGCCTCTAAAGTAAAGTACTGTACTGTGCATTGGTTTGGGCTATCAACAACTCTTTTTTTTTTTTTGGAAAATGTATTTTTTATTTAAGAATGGCAAACAGGTAAACAAATATATAGCCTAACTATTTTTATGATCATTAAATCATAAATGAAACAAATTATAGAGTACCTTTGTATGGGAATCCTCCACAATAATGATAGTTTTTGGGGAAAATGTCACATTTGATGGAACAGAGACAACAAAGAATAGACAGGATAGCATTTTTTCCGGGGCCATTCTTACCGTACACCATTTTAACCTGAGTATTGCCTATCATATTGCCTTTTGTTCAAATAAAAAACAGCAGGTTGTTCTCAAAGCTCTAAAACATGGAAAAGGGTTTATAACAGCTTATAAAACATGAGGAAGTAATAACTACTAAGGGATGTATAAAAATGTGTGGGAATCATTATGCAAGTCAGGGTCAACAATTCTTGCTAGAAGGTCAAGGAGCACACTTGGCCAAACCTTCCTTAAACTCAAGTTTTATGAACATTTTACAACTACAGTACCTATTAAACCTAAAAAGTACTATCCTTAATTATTATTACTATCATCTAGGTACACTACTTTTTTTAAAAGTTGTCAAATTATAAAATACCTGCGTTAAGGTTTCAATAAACTTTGTTAATGACTTTGCTTTGTTTGGACTTAACTTAATTTGGTCATAAGAATTTATTTGAAAATCTTTTAAACTGTCGGGTAGTACAGTAATCAACTTCTTAATTAGACATTAAAGTGGAAACTGTTTTGATCTTTGTTGGATTGACAGTTGATAACTTGTTTCACTTTCATGTGAAATTTAATGTTCAAATATCATGGTGGTATAACCCTTCTTTCAAAATAGAAGAAAAGAAAAATAAAAAAACAGAAATAGAACAAATGGAAAAAAATTCAGAAATCAGAAATTATCAACATTCCTTTCAACTACACTGAATCATAATGTGAACACCAGAAGCATGAAACACACATGAAAACTTGTTTTTTCACATCTGAAAAAGTATGTTAGCATAATGTAAATTCAATTTTTTTTTTTTCATAACAAAATCTTTTTGCATGTAGTAGTTTGTATATAATTTAGCATGTGGTATGTAAAGGCGACAAGATCAAATAAATACATTTACTGTTAACGTTTAACCTGAAGTGTTGATAGGCTGCATAATGAGAATCTGGTGGCACTTAAAAAATTTCTAATGGTCAACCCTATCCATGTCTGTAGACGTGATATGCCAAACCCGGCACTCTACTGTACAGGTAGGCCTATGTGTAGGCTGCGTAACCACACGAATAGGCCGTGTGAAACTAGTGCACAAGCAGTCTGTGGTTAGGAAATACCAGCAGGTTAAGTTAAAGCAAATGTCTACCAATGAATCCATGACTTACCAATTGACATGTCGACAAGGACGCGAAGCCCCGCACACAAAGTCACGAAAACCTTAGACAAAGGCAGCTAGACTTACCGAGTTGGCGAAAATTTTCTTTGCTATCTTAAAGAAAGAGAATTCAGGGTAGGCGGTATGTAAATTAATCATATATTCATAGTGTTAATCTATTTCATGGAACAGGCGGGGAAATTGTTGTAAAAAGCCTCTGTATTTCGCTCCCAAAGGAAGAGGGAAAAGTCGCATTCAGTCAACCTCGATGTTGGCAAAGGCCAAGTCACCACTGATGCGCACTGCTTGTGTAAATCTGGGTATCTATAACTAAGCATAGACATCTAGGCCTAGGCTCACTTATGTTTCACGTTGACAACCAGCTGTCTAAGGTAATTTAAATGTCCAAGAAAAAGTTTTTGATCACGTGACTAAATGACGCTCGCTGATTAGTCAGTTTATCTGTCAATCAAATCTCGTCGAGATGTTAATTGGTTCATAATGGAACTTTTTTTTTTTTTTTTATAAGAACCAGTAACATTTTGCCCATCCTCAATGTACTTATTTTTACAGCACCTAAGGTACAGGTACGACCAAAAGAATTTACAGGTATTTTATTGGTTTTTTTATGTTTTTTTTTAATAAAAATCCCATTTGAAATTTTACCTCAGCCTCAATTTGTTCTTATTTTTAAGAAATTTCAGTCTCAGTGTCCTTTTAAAATATGTTATAAGAAAAAGTGTAAGACCATTCCACCAACAAAATTTGTTCAAGCGAGTGGGCTTACACCAGAGGAAGTAAGGTAATGTTCTTCTGCCTTTTTGGATTAAGAGAGTGATGCACTTCACGAACAAGTAAATAAACCAGACTATTAGGGCATATCATTGAATACAGTCCTTTACACAAGGACTTGTCCACATCAAGAGTTCCGTAAACACATAGTACAAACTAGTCCAGTCGACAAACAAGCGAAGTATGGTACTCCACTAAATCCTATACAACATTCATAAGCTGCGAATAAGTTGAAAATATCATCACTTAAAGCTTTAACACAGAAATAAGAATAGTATTAAGCATCCCACTCTAGCATTGATACATTGAAATAAAAAACACTAATCCTCTCTAAGCTGAGTCACCTCCTTAGACTAGATAAAGGCTACATTGTTCTTCAAGTGATATCACATTTCAGCTAAGTAGCTTTTACTGCAATCTACATTAAATTCAAAACATATGATGCTAAATTAAACAACACTTTTTTTATAACATACATTGCTCCGTCAACCTGCTGTACTCTGTGAAAGAGTTTTGAATTAAAAGAAAACCATTTTGCCTTGTTAGTACACCTGCCGTTGTAAAGAAGTGAATAGTTTGAAAAACATAATAAAATTTTCATTTTTGTGGTTTAGGCAATCTGATATTTATTGAAATACTAATAAAACTAACAATTATTTAATTCTGAACTTCAGGGTGTAATCAAATGGTAACAATGAATTGAGAGTAAATTAATAACATTCAATTATCTAAAAATGTTTATTTTTTAACAATACATTTTTATAAGTTGATCCCTTTTATAGAATTCAAATTTTTATTTTTTATGCTTTCAGTGAAATTTCCAAGAGAGTCCCTCAGAGTTCAAGAGTAAATAGAGTTTCACTATGCAACCGCAGCCCGTTTACTACTGCCGTACCGACGACGGCAAGACAAAAGCTTAATCTGTCTCTTATACGAGCTTACTTAATCCAGGAAACTAGCTATAAACCACTGAAAAAAGTCCCATAATAGACTACATGATATACCAAAATAATGCAATATTGTTTTTCATTAACTAACTGTATACACTATTTCTTCACGTTCTAACAATACTGTAAGTCCATGTCCCTAATACGATTGTTTACGAGTTCATTCAGATAATAATGCTAAGTTGCAATTTGACAGCTTATTAAACTTGTCTTATACTTTCCGTATAGTCAAGTTCACATGTAGGTCTAACACAAAGCCTGTGTGTGGAATGTAGGTAAAAATGGTCCCGGAAAAAATGGCCTAGGAAAAAATGGCCCCGGTAAAAATGGCCCCAGTAAAAATGGCCCCAAATGATAAGTAGGTAAAAATGGCCCTAATGAAAAAATTCAGTAATAGAAATGGTATTTTTTTTTTTAATCTTATAATACAGTTACACAACAGATGCGAATAATGTACTGAGAGATTATCGGAAAACAATGGCCATTGAATAACATTTTTTGATAGTAGAAAAAGTTAATAAAAAGTGTTAGTCATGGCTTTTTTTTATCTTTGAATATTTAATCATTGAATATGTAATTCCTGCAAAAAGTAAAATGTAAATGGCAATTTATTTGATGTTAGATTCCTTTTTAAAAACTAAATTATTTCAGTTAAAAAAAATTCATATAATGATTTTTAAAAAATCAGTTTTAATACAAAATTTTATTATTGGGGCCATTTTTACCTACCTGTCATTTGGGCAATTTTTACCTGGGCAATTTTTACCGGGGCCATTTTTTCCGGGGCCATTTTTTCCTGGGCCATTTTTTCCGGTGCCATTCTTACTGTACACAGTGAGGGTACGCTAGATTAGGTTTGGACACTTCCAGTGGGTGTGGCGCGCCGCAAGCTTGTTTTGGAGACATTTCCCTCCCACGCATCCCCCTAGACACTTCACTGCTACCAAACCATGACAAAAAAGATACTTAGACGGCAGTTCACTATGTTTAATAATATGCTTGCGCTTTTTGTGTTATGCAATATGATGGCGCTTTAGAATGCCACTATAAATTAATAAATTATAATCAATCATTATTATTATTGAAACATCTGGATAAAATCAGGAAAATTCGACTAAATGTTCTATTCATGCTCTTAAGTCTTCTATGACAAACGTCTGTGATTTTTCCATATATGGGCATGATGTTATAACACCCATCGCATGGGCAAATCAGATATTTGTCTAATATAGGCAGTGGCTATTAGAAAACTAGTCTTAAACAAATTCCTAATTCTTGAATGGATGTTACTGTCATAATCATAATCATACAGTAACATCCAATCAGAATTAGGAATTTGGTTTAAGACTGACAACAAGTACCTATAAAAAAAAAAGCTAAAAAAATAAATGGAAGCAATCTAGTCAATACTTGATTCAGTGTGTTGGGCAGAGTTGCACAAGTCTAGTCACACTAGTTACTCACTGATGAACTCCCAATAATAAACACCCTCAATTGTATTTTCAGCAGTAAAGCTCCTCCTACCATACACCTGAACAGAACGTCTTACCTTTAAAATAGCTCTTGTTCCGTAGATAGCTCACACACAGTCTCAATATTGATAACTTATCAAGTTTAGATACAGTTTCTTCATCTAATGGTAAGAGGCTAGCCAGCGTATCTAGCTCTGTGTTTAGACGATCTCGATGACGTTTGCTAGGGTTGGTTTTTACTTCACCAGTCGTTGCAGTCAGCCTATAGAGAAAAAAAAAAAGCATTCCAAACTTATTTAACTTATAAACTATTACAAACGTTCATCTGTTCATCAATTTTAATAGTCACTGCAACACCATCTTTCGGGATGTGTTCATAATTTCAGCAATTCATGAACCTAATCATCATATTGTAATTATATATGATACTATATCATATCAATTTTATCAGCGAGCAATGTACAGAACAAAAGGAACATAGGAAAAAGCATGGCTTCTTTAGAGTGTGACACCTTTAAACTGAAATCTAAATCACATGAAAACTGAACTTGGGAACATGACCAGAAGGGTTGCTTATACTATAGAAATACTGGCGCCAAATCTTGCGATGTTGGAAAAGAGTTACTATAAGCCTTCAACTGCTGCTGGATTTTTGCACTTGGATCAGCCCCCAGCTTGAGTTCAGCCAACTTTGATACTAGGCTATAGTATCTCTAGAATAACAAAGTATAACTAACCTACAGGGCATTTTTTGTATTACACTGTCTCCTCATGTACAGTATTCTCATTCCTGAATATAACCCAATAAAGGTTGAAATTTCAAATCATGGCCTCCCTCTTATTCAGATTAACTTTCATTCTAAGGGATGTAGTTATGGTGGGTAAATGTGGCAGCCAGGGCAGCCACCCATCCTTTAAATTTTCCATCCCCTCCCCCCAGTCTAAAACCAATTTCATGGCCCTCCACCCACCTTTATTAACCCCCTTGCCCATCCTTAAAATTCAGTCTTATTATTTAAAGTATACCAAATGTCATCACCCACCCACCCTTAAAAAGTCTACCACCCACCCTTAGCTTTGTAGCTAAAACCCTGCATTCTATATGTTATTGTAATTTAGAATGCAGAGAATGTAATGATTTTTAAAACACTATTTATCGTATTGGATTTTCTTGCCATCTACTTTACGCACTATCATTGTTCCATTTAGTCATTATGAATGCACGCGATTCTATGAAGAACACAACGCGACAACGCGCAAGCAAGGGATCGTCTTTAATGACGATGTGTTCAGAATGCCACAGACAATCAGCAGGCAGCGTTGCGTCGACTAATGCTCACAGAGAGTGTGCAGTTGGATTCATCGTTCGACGGTCGTACGACACAGAGAGTTCTTTGCTTAACAGTTTCCTACAGAATCCTATTAAAATTTTCGAATAAAAAAAACAAATAGTAGTTAAGACTGTGTGGTCATTTTCTTGGATGTGACCAACAGTAATTAACTATATCATCAAGTAACATAACTTGTTTTAACTGAGAATAAAAGTTGAACTTCTGGCGCTGCGGTCACCAGAAAACATTTCGCTATGATTACCCACAGACGACACAGTAGGCAATGTACTATTGTAAGAAGCTGAGGGATCTTTCAACGGTAATGAATGGGTAATGATTCATAACAAACCTGTTCTGTCCTTAGGTGATATTCACAAAGGAACTACTTTATTGTATTTTCATAATAAATTTGAAGTAGCAATTCATAGAAGCTGTTGTAATGGTAAATTACTTCTATTCAAGATACCCAATCATTTGTTTACATGTCTTCCTACCTAATATATTATTTTGTGCTGGTAATTTATTTATTAATAAATATTAATAATAAATCTAGTGCAAATGTAATATCGCCTCGAGTTATCAATTTCAATGTGCCTAGCATTGTAGCAACAGCAAAAATATTCAGATGAAAAAAAATTAATATTATATAGGATGGAACAAAAGATGGTTTACAAATATTAGTTAGTAATATTAAAAGAAGAATGAATGAATGAAGATGGCCATGTAAAAAATCCAGCCACATACCCCCATACACGCAAAATTATGTCGCCTCTATACGCCACCCAAATGATTCCCATTACTTGTGCGTGTTGTGTTATTATTATTTGTACTTATTAAATGGCACCAGTAAAATTGACCTGACTGGAGAAAAATATGGATGTTGAAAAGATGAGCAATATTGATGGATACAATTTTACCACAACACTTCACAAACACATGCTACCCAATTATTTTTAGCCTCAAATGATTGACATGTAAGCTGACATATATACTATTACAGAATGATTTTTAAAACTCAATGAGCATAAATTATTGTAGACAAGGAAATACATGGGCCTCAATTTTGACCCCTGCAGGATGTCAGGTTTATCAATGCAAGCCAACGGACAGTTGTCAATATAAATCTGTGGTTTTAGGTGTTAGCTGAAACCAACAAGATGGACATGCAAATGAGTATATTTCACATATATTTGTATAAAAAAATATACAACTTTTTTAAATATCCAAGAAGTCTTGAGGGTTGGGCCAATCAATTCTTGTTTTTCTATGGCCTGGCCATACATAGTCAAATTAAAACAAGCTTCAGGTAGGCATACACTAAAAAGGATATCTTTGACAAACATCAAAAAATAAAACACAAGCTTGCTCAAGCCCTATTAAATATAGCTTTGTCATGTGAAAAAGAGGAAATTGGAATTTCAGTCCTTTAATTAAAAAGACAATTTGGGTACAATAATATACTCCCTTTTAATCCCCCTTTGTCTACATTATTAATTATAAGGACCGATACCGGTATTCCAATTTCTTTTCTAATCACCTGACAAAGCTTGTTGCTGTTGGGTAACACTTTTGTTTTTATACCTTGTTATTTGAGCCAGCAGATAATTATAATTTTAAATAAAAATAAATTTTATTTTTGTCCCAATAGTGCATTGTGAAATATTCTCCTCGTTCCACCTGGTAAGATATCTCTTGCAGTAAATATAATTTATTTGTTTCTTGCAAGAAACAAAGTCATAATTTACTAAACTTTCAATTCATTTAATTTATTTTTCTCTCATAAGACAAGCAAGAACAAACAAAACAAATATTACAATTAAAAGCAATACTAAGAAGGGATTAAAAAAAGTAAACCGAATTACTATCAAAGGTGGTCCCTGAACACCATTTCAATTCTATAAATTTACATTGATTTAGGACATTAAATTTTAAATTCTCTAATTAAAATATACTTTAAACAGGGGTGGGCATAAAAATGGATCGGCGGGCCAAAGTGAATTTTTTATTTAACACCGAGGACTGCACCCAAGTGAGGTTTAAAATGATCAAGAAACCAATTTAATTAATTGGCAAAAAGTTCTGAATTTCGGAAGGGATAGTATTCAAACTTGTGGAAAAGTACTAAACACTGTAATATGAAAACAACTAGTTCGAGAAAAAGAGTGAATAAACTTAAGATGATCTGTGCGACAAGTACTGATTGTAATATATGAAAAAATATTAACTGAATAAGGCCAATTAAAAAAAATTACTAGTTTCTCGTCCCCTCGCGCATCTATTTTCTTTGCCTTACTACTTTTTTTTTTTTTTTTAATTTTCAAAAGTGAGAAATTGGATTGGATTGGATTGGATTTATTCGGTGTAAACACCAAGGATAGCCCACGAAAATCTAGAAGAAGACTTATTTCCAGTGTGGACCTTCTGGTGGTGATTGGGCAGTACACCGGGAGACAATCCCCTACTCTTTTCCGAAGAGTGCACTGCATTCTTTAACGTGCACATGGGCCTTAATGCACACGGGACCAACGGCTTAAACGTCTCATCCGAAAGACGGTGCGCTAGTAACTTGTATTTAAGCCCTCTAGCTGAAACACAAGGAGAGGCAGCGATAGGAATTGAACCGGGGACTTAGAAATTGGTAGCTGTTTCCTATTGACCATCTTGGATTTGCCATCTCAGGGTAAAAAAATAAAGTGCCCTCATATATTCCTTTTTTTAAATTATTAGGACGAGAAACTACTGTACATTTTTTGTCTTAATTGGCCTAATATATGAAAAAATATTAACTGAATAATAACTAAATAAACATTTACAAACATTGATTACCGGTACTTAGCGCTTTCTTTAGACGTGGTGATGGAATTTCAAGGATAGGTCCAAAAGTGCAGTCTCAATTAATTTCCATCGCAAGCACTCAAATTGTTTTTATTATTCATCAAATAAAAACTTAGTTATATTTTTCTCCTCTGCCTAGATGCATTAATAGGCACAATCAATTTTCTAACTGTAAAAAATATTTTTAAAAATGTATTTCAACTATTTTTATCCATTGCAAAGGGTATTAAATCTTTTCATCATCAGTCTTTGGAAAATGAATTTCATATGATTAATGAACTTGTAAACATATAATAAAAGAAATCTTGAATCTTGTATCATAAGAACATTTGAGTGAGTCAAATGGCCGAGCCGTTAGTAGGGGGGCCGCAAGCTATAGCCATAATATCGGCACTGATTCGAACGGCACGCTCGCCTATAGTTCTGGTGGTAGAAGTCTTCTCGGATAAGGACTATAAATCGTAGGCCCAGTGTATAGGCCTACAATGGCTTGTGTGCACTATAAAGAACCCAGTACATCCTTTGAGATGAGTAGGGGGATACCCCGGTGTACTGGAACAGACAGCCCCTGTGGTGGACGACGAGAGTTGCTGGTACCGGGTTACCGGGTAGCATAGACACAAAGGGACCCTTAGGGGCGAAGAAAGTCATTGATCGGGTCCCTAGTCCACATTTCAAGTGCCCTGAGCATCTTACATTAGATGGATATGTGCGCTATATAAAACTACACTATTATTATTATTATTTAGCATTCATACTCCATAATATTTTGAACATTCCATTCCTTATTACAGTATAAGCGAAAATTTAACCACCTTTAGATTATGCAAAAACCTTTTCTCATGAGATACTGAGTTATCACTAGTTTAGTTACATAATCAACCCTAAGGCAAAACATTCATTTTCCATTAGAAAGTCCTACATTATGTCAACTGCTACAAGGTCACTCAGTCATATCTTTATCATCATCTAGTTAAGCAATTCCCCAATCCAAGCCTGTTGCCATAGGATTCTTCAGCACCTCAAAACAAGCCAATCCCCTAGATGTTTTTGGTATTACAGCAATGAAAGTTCAAACATTGGAAATTCACAGGCC